AACTTCTGTTCAAACTGAAGGCTGTGACAGATGTTTTAGCACATAATAGGAAACTGAAAATGTAAACTGGTGTTCTGATTTATTTTGCTTCTGTATTTATGAACATTTATTTATATGAACAGTTGTTAGTTGCCCTGTCCTTTACGTTTGCATGTTGTAAACTTCCCCTTTCATTCTTGCCGCCATCTTTCTGTTACAAATCACCCCTGACACGCTTTTAAGTATCTGGTTGACCCCAGATACTTAAGCTCATCTACCTTCACTGTAACACCTGTCTGCCTCTCATTCACACACATATCTTGCTTCTACCAACTTTTATTCATTTTCTCTCCAGTGCATACCTCCACCTATCCAGGCTCTCCTTCATTTGCTCCCTTCTCTCATTACAGATCACGGTGTCATCTGCAAACATCATAGTCCATGCAGACTCCTGCCTGACCTCATCTTTCAGCTTGTCCATCACTACTGCAAACAGAAGGGGCTCAGAGTCGATCCTTGATGTAAACCCACCCCCACCTTCAACCCATCAGTCACTCCTATCACACGGCTCACCACTCTCTTTTACAGTCCTCTCTACCACTTCTGACCTTCTCATGCAGTAGAGCAGTTCTTCTCTTGGATTCAACACATTTATTTACTTTTTACATTTTTGTAATGGACATCAGCCTCAATATGCAAACTGTCATCAGCAAAGTGTGCAGATGTATGCATTCAAAATCAAAAATATACAACCAAAACTATCACAATGCAATTTCTTTGATGAAGATAAAGAGGAAATATTAAATGCTCACATAAACCTGACTAAATCTTCAAATTTGACCATTAAACTTCAGCGCAGTTGTGAAGCTGTAATGTTCACCTGAAGAGTTTAAGACGAGTTCTGGCTCTTTGTTGGCGTGTTCGATCTCCTCAGCAGAGTGCTGCTCCGACAGTTTGCGCTTTCGTGCACTTCCGTGAGTGACGATGGCGGCGTATAGCTCCTGAAGATCGCCATCGAAGCCCAGAGCTTCCTGTTGTTCAGAACAGAGCAGAGGAAGAGCCTGATGGAGAGAAACAGAACGAGGCAAAACCTGTGTGAAAAACTAGCAAAGATTCAAAGCACTTAAAAGTTTCATATGTCTTATTATTTCTCCAGTGTTGTCAGAGTTAAAAATTGTTCAAGCTCCAGATTTTCCTAAATGTGTTAAAAACCCTTGAACCTTTCAACAAGGCTTTATGCAAACTCTATAAGGTGTGATAACGGATATATTAAAACAGGAATTAACCTCCATGCATGAAAAAAAAAAAGAAAACAAAAAGGTGCTGCTCTTTTAGATGCAATGTAGTTTTAAAAAGTGCAATATGCACTCAGAGATTAAAAAAGAGGCAGCCATCTACTGTTACTGGTTACGTGGAAAAGGAAAAAGAAGCACAAAGAGGGAGCAAGAACAAAACAAACTATAGAAAAAAAAAAAAAAAGACTAGGGCCATAACTGATGGAAGATTTACCAAAATGGGATGTTTGAACCTTAAAAACTCCCATGTAAGAATCCTGGACAAGCCCCCAAATTTGTCATAATGCAACTCATGAGTCACAACAAATAACAGGAGAGAGAGACAAAGTGTACCAATTATTAACCAAGAGAAGCAAAATTAAAACCACTAGGACTAAACCAACACTATAGTGGATAGATCGAGAGACCTAAATGCTCCAGATGCTCCCAGTTACACTGATTAAAAGATGGCTAAATGTGACACAGGATCATCACAGTACAAAGGGTGTCTGCTACACAGTACAGCACCCTGGCATTCCCTCCCTTTCTACTCACTCAAATTCATTCAAACTTACTCTAACCACAAATAAGCCAGCAGTCTGAGAGCAAAGTGCTCTGTTGGGGTGATATAGTAGTAAGTCTTTAACATACTAAGATGGGACCTGATGATTCAGTGCTTCGAGCTTTAAATTAAATTCTGAATGTAACAGAAAGCCAGTGAGGATGAACCACTGTTTGAGAAATATACTCTGTCTAGCTATCCTATTTATCTCTGAGAATATTTTTAGCAGAAGCTGCTTTCACATGTCAAGTCAAGGTGGGATATCATCTGAAGCTGTCCTCTTCATCCACTTCAGACATGTTGTAAATGCTTTGTTTGTCTTACATGAAGCAGGACACATGATGCCCACTTACTGACATTTAACAGCACTAATCCCAGACGAACGCAGGTCAAAGAGTTTTCACATGCTGACGAGACTTTGAGCTGCTTTACATTATAGACCTACTTCAGTAAAGAAGGAGGATCAAGCAAATACACATTGGTGCATTTTAATGTCTCTAGTGCACTAAACTGAAGGCCTTTTATTTGTTCAACTTACTGTATGCCATTTTTTGGTCATAATCTTGCAGTTTTCCTTTTACCTACTTCACTAAATGTTCATTAAAAATCACTCAAGCTGTTTAACTGCTCCAAACTCCTGTGTCACAGTGTTAAATAAGTGATCCGGACCCCTCCCAACAAACTGTCACAAGTTCTTCATCTACCTCTGCTGCACTTCTTCAGGGTAGTTGTTGGGTAATCTTCACAACAGAAAAACGCAGCCTGTGACAAAAACACATCATTTCCTCCCATTTTCATGATGTATCAACTCATCAACGCAGATCAGCTGATGGGCAGAAAAAAAACAAAAAACAAAAAAATTATTTCTTTTTTTTCACTAAAGTTGAAATTGCAAAACCACTGGATAACTTATGGCTGTCTGTGTCCATCTTTTATATACAGTTTGTTGTTTTTACACAGGAGAGTTTTTAAAAACAAATGCAGCTGGTTGTTATGACCTGAGCTGACACCCATATACAGGGGTTTAACTTCTGTACCTGGCATATGTATTTATTACATTGAATAACCTTTATCTTCAATATCTATTAGAAACCACGTCTCACTGCTTCACATTTTTATAAACCAACTTCTGTTCAAACTGAAGGCTGTGACAGATGTTTTAGCACATAATAGGAAACTGAAAATGTAAACTGGTGTTCTGATTTATTTTGCTTCTGTA